CTCTCTCTCTCTCTCTCTCTCTCTCTCTCTCTCTCTATGTTTAGATAGATAGATAGATATTCAGGAAGGTCATGATTATTCCAGACAGTGTGAATAATAATTAATCTCCAAAAAGGGTCATGCTTACAGATTCTGGTTTTCTCAAATGGTTATGAATATCAATTTTCCAAAAGTGCTACCACAGAAAAGGCTATGTCATTTGTGTATCTTTCACCAACGTTAGCACAGTAAGCCTTCTATTTTCACAGAGGTTAGTGGTTCATAAACTCTGTAAAAGTGAGAAAACTGTAAAGTCACGTTCTCTCTGCCATGGCAAACCTCTTCTGCACAAACCTTGCCAGGAAGAGCCTCGAATAAGTACACTTTAGGGTAACCATGGGTGACCTTGAAACAACTTAAAGGCACACAACAACAACAACGACAACACAAGGAAATTTCCCATTTCTTTTGGGGAAGAAACCAAAAAGCAAGGAGGCTGTGACCCTGATTTATCAAAAGGACAGACTTTATGGGCCTTCCGAAGAAACCCAGGCAGGGGTTTTGTCCACATTTGCAGGCCAAATTCTGCAACGCATTAGCAGCCCCTCTTTCATTGCAGGTCCCCAAAGGGCACCAAAATGGAGGGCCTGCTTCCCAGAAGAGTCACAGTGGGTCTCCCTGTTGCCAGGACCTAAATTCTGCTTCCTTCCTCTCTGGCTTAAGGTGGGTCAGGAGGTCAGCATTGGCGCCCCAGGTTCCCCCTCACCATCCTTGCTCCCACCGAGAAAAGACAGAAAGGCAGGGTTTTACAGATTTACTAGTTTCTGAATCAAGGAAATCCAGAAAGTGGCCTTTGAGGGAAGTGGCGGGAGGGAGCAAAGGGCTGTGCAATTAAAAACCAGGGCAGCCTCCTCAAAAGCCAAATCCACCATTCCAAAATGTGTAAGGGCAAGGACATTAGCGGGACATCAACACCGAACATCTTAGAGAATGAGGAAGCCACAAGAAGGTTAAGTACTTGCTGATCACCTGAGACACAGAGTTCTTAATAATAGTAATAATAATAATAATAATATTGTTAACCCTTGAGAGATGCATCCTGACCGTGACAAGACTTTGACTTGAAGGATGTTAGGATTACATCTATATAAATAAAAATGTAATGTTCGTTTGTGGGATTAACGTAACTCAAAAACCACTGGTCAAATTGACACCAAATCTGGACACGGCAACGAGTGACCATCACTCATAACGAAAATACACCATATATATATATAAATACACACACACACACACACACACATACACACACACACACACATATGTTGTTGTTCATTCGTTCAGTCGTCTCCGACTCTTCGTGACCTCATGGACCAGCCCACACCAGAGCTCCTTGTCGGCCGTCACCACCCCCAGCTCCTTCAAGGTCCGTCCAGTCACTTCAAGGATGCCATCCATCCATCTTGCCCTTGGTCGGCCCCTCTATATATATATTTGTGTGTGCATATGTATATGTATATATGTTTATTTATTTATTTATTTATTAATGCACTTGTATACCGCTAATATCTCAGCCTAAAACGGCGACTCATTGCGGTTTACAACACTTAAAAACAACAATATTCAATTTAAAATCATAAAACACATATACAGTACACAGTATCGGGCCACCAATACAGACCAATGCATCTCTTAATTAAAATCATAATCCAATTTCGTCGTCTATAATTACCAGTCCTTGATCATCAACTCCATCGCACCGGATTAACCGAATGCTTGCATATGTAAATGTGTGCATATGTAAATGTGTGTATGTAGATGTATGTGTGTGTATATTTGTGTGTGCTTGGGTGTATATATGTGTGTGTGTGTGTGTGTGTGTATGTGTGCATGTGTATATGTATGTGTGTGTATATATACATATACACATACACATACATACGTACATACATACACACATGTATATACACCCAAGCACACACAAATATACACACACATACATCTACATACACACATTTACATATGCACACACAAATATACACATACACACATACAGGCACACATACATAAACATATACACACAAATATGCATATAGACAAGCACACACATATAAACAATATACATATATACACACAAATATATACACACATACATACACATCTACACACATATATACACCTATATATATATACACCTATATATATACACACACACACACGCGCGCGCGCACACACAGAAACACACATATATACACAGATACACAAATATATACA